TTCCTTTCCTGACAGTGTTGATTCCACTAGCAAGGGCAGAATTTTGCCCTCAACTATTCACAAGTAATTAATGCATTATTGAACAGGAATAAATAGATAGCAATTAAATAACAAGTATTAATGACTTATTTATTAACATATTAATAGTTGGCCTGAGAGTAATAAATGCAAATTAGTGTAAAGTGGTACCAAAAATTGTGTCGATAATAGGCCCTGAAGTAATCTTGTGTGTTCAAGATAATTACAAATATATTTTCCTTTCAAAAATCTACTGCCGGGTAATTTTTTATGGTTTGCTATAATATCATTTTAAAATTAGAAAATTAGCCCTAGTCTCATTAAAATAATTTTGCAGTGCATCAGGCTTTATTTCAAGTGTAAGTTTCACATTATCTTCTTGCCTACAGACCTTGCATTTTTTTTTCCAGAAAATCTCCTCATGTGCCAATATTTTGGGCCTGTGCTTGGTGTGCAGTTTTGTTTCTTGCACAACTTTTCTTATCATTAGTATTACTACATAAAAAGTCCCACTGCAAGCAGGGGTAGTACTTTGAGGGCTAAGTCCAGCAACAATCTCTAAGGGCCATATTTATTCCTATTTATTACTGCTAATAGCAACTGACCTGATAAATAGTTCAGAGGCTTTAGACATGACCAGACTGATGCACACCTAACAACCAGATCACAATAGATCCCACTTAAAAGACCATCTCTGGTCAGCTGTTTTACTAGAAATACTTCCCCCCTCTTTTTTCTTTTGGTTTTTTTTTTTTTTGGTTTTTATTTGTTTGTTTGTTTGTTTTTTTTTAATTCTTATTTGTTTAGACAAAAACAAAACCCCACCTCATACCTTGACTCTAAACTATTACTTAACACTGGAAAAGCAATTACTCAGTGAGGACAGAAAGACACTGCCACTTTTATCAGTTCTAGAAAGAAAAGGAAATTCTTGGCTAAAATCCAGGGTCCTGCCCTCATCACTGATCTGCTAACAACAGCAGATTAAAATATTCCAGTCTGCCACCACTCCTGATTTTACCAGTTCTAGAATCTGACACACATTTACCAAGTGACTGCCTCTAATAAAAGATTAGCAAATATTCATGTTTGTAACAGGAATGGAGGAATGGGGGCCCAGGCTTCCTCCTGGCACTGGCGCACAGAACGCTGCTTCAGCACATGTTTGTTTCTAGAAATGTTTCTGCCTGCCTCTGTTGGTGGCATTTTTACTTCTTTGCATCTTTCCTCTTTAAAGGCATTGTAAATGGCTTTTTCCAGAATAATCAAGGGCCTTTCTGTGAGGTACAGGGCTACGGTGGCTCTGCCTGCACAGTGCCTTCCCAACCACTACGTAAATGTGATTGTGGCCGTGTAATCTGTGTACCTGGAAATATAATTCGTTTTGTTGCTAATGAAGGTCCTACGGCACAAATTTATTAAAGGTATACTTTTCCGTGGGATAATAATTGGGTCGATAATATTAAACTCATAGGCTCATTATTTAATTGCAAGGGCAGATTATGAATACAGCTTCTAAAATGTATTTTAATGAAAAACACTACATCCTGACCTAATCATATCAACCTTATGCTATCTAATTAAGGATGCAAAAAATCATTAGAGTTGCAAAATATTAGTTCCAGCTCCATCAGGCTGTTAGCTGCCCCTTCATGAATATATATATTTTTTTACTCTATGATAAATAGTTAATGAGGTAAAAATGACAAAATTTGCATGTAGGCAAATTAGTTTAATAGACTGATGTCTTCCTGGTCTACAGAAAGTGACCTTTCTCCTATCAAAAGAAAGACTGAAAATACTTTGAAATGATGGCAGAGATGTGGATATCATTCCACAAATGACAAATCACTCCTCTGAACAATATAAAAATTATAAAATACAATAACCTTAAATTCTCATCATATTGTAAATGTGTCCTCTGCTGCTGCATTTATCAATTTAATAAAAGGAAATTAAGCATATTATAAAATACCCATTTATGGGGCAATTTTTAATCCAGCGAATAAAAATGAGAAGCACATGGTTAATAGCAAGAAAATATTGCAAAAATGTGGACCTATTTTTTCCAGAAGGTTTGACTGACTATTTACTTGAATGACCTCCATTTAAAATATATTTTTTATATGGAGTAATGTAAGATATGGCAGTCTCATGCTTCCCTTTATAAAAATTGTTCACAGTTAATTTTGTATTTTATTTAAAAATTAACACATTAATAATGCACGCAATAAGACCTAGTGATGTGTCTTCCATACTGATTACTTTGTACAATTATACATACAAAAAGAAAGGAACAAGATAAATACCTTATGCAAATCTATGGCAGAAAAAAGGGTCTTTTCATATCTGCAATGCCTAGGAGCATAAAAAGACCTGCAAATACAGCTCCCACTCTTGCTCCATGTAGAGAACATATTTGTGGAATGGAGCTAGTTTTTATTGCAAAACTAGATTTGTAAAGAGCTAACAACACTTCCTTTGATGGTTCCCTTTATCATCAAAATAATACCAAATTAAAAAAAAAAAAAAAAGGAGGAAGAGATGGGGAAGATTTTGATTTTTGAAGACTGGTTCTTTTTTTCACAGTATTTGTGTTTTGTATGATAATTCAGGACTTTTGAACACTAGTCTCCACTCACAAATTTTCCTCACTGGGAGGGAGATCCCGTGACCACTGAAGTAAATGGTGGAGATCATCTCTAGATGCGCCAGTGATGCAAATTCCTGTGCTCTTTCCACATTGCTCATATCTTTTTACATCACATAGTCTGCATCAGTGTGTCCCCCAGAGAACAGGAATGTGTAACACTGTCACAGCCTGGCATTTGGTTAGGGATGATGTAAAGGAAAAGGCATGAAATTCATGCAGATGTAGACAGAATAGCAACCAGAAACTTAGGGGTTTAGCAGAGACAAAACTGTGCCTCACTTTCCTTTGTTGAATGAAATGCGTGCTGCTCCTGTGAGGCATTGGGATTCTTCCCTCTACTCTGACTGCACCATCTGAGGCGCTGGATCCAGCTGAGGCTGGGTCCATTTTAAAAGATCTCAGACTAAGATTTCACATTTCATTGTGGCCTTTCAGGCACGCTAGGCTGCATACTGGGAGTAAAACTAGGCACTTACATGTTTCTATAGCTATGGGTCATGCCTTTCAGTTCTGTCCCTTGAATTATGTCTTACTGTAGCAGTGGACAACCCATTCAGGTTTCCTCCATTCAGGTACAGACTACCTGTATACAGAGAAGTAATTTCTTTTTCCATTCATTTCCATTTGTCTTTACCCCCACAATTCCTCCTTTACTCCTACCCTTTTTTTTTTTGTTTTTCTTTTTTTGTTCACCTTATCCAGCCCTTTCTGTTTTGCTGCAAGAAATTATATGCTGGAAATATCATTAGAAATCTATTAAGTACTTAGAAATGCAGTTTGCAGTTTCCTCATCTGCCACTTTTTCCAAATGCCATTGGTGGTCCTGGCCTGCAAAATTAGGTCCACTACAGGTGTTCTTTGTTTTTTACTTAATTTGTAACAAAGATAATAGAAACCAATTGTCAGTGGTAATACTTTGACTTACTGCAGAAAGTTATAAAGTGAAAAAAAATTAGTTATTTTACTTACTGGGAAAGACAAAATAAGTTCTACATCTACAAAAAGTGGGAATGTCTGAGGCAGGTGGTTGTGGAAGCACATTCACTCTTTCAAACCTTTTCCCTCCCCTCTGCTGAAATACCATGTGCTGCTCTGTGCTTTCCCACAAAAATTAAGCTTACTGAGTATCTGCTTTTTCATTCAGTTTTTCCTTTCAGGGTCTAAACTGTCATCACAGAGAAAAAAAAAAAAGTGGAAAATAATTACAGCTGTGGCAGATGTTTATAACAGTGACAACTGAGGCTATATATTTATATAAACTGCTGATCTTTCAGAGGTAGTTATAGAGATTTGAAAAACCTGCAGACCCTAATCTTAAGTCCCTTGTTCCAGAGGGTTAGAAAAGAAAAACAAAGCAACTCATACAGGCTTAAGAGGACTAATTTCCTTCCTATCGGGGAATCTGTTCTTTTTTACATTGAAACAGGAGAGTTACAAAACAAAGCATTGTACACTGAGGCATTCACAGATATATAGATCAAAGAGATGAGCACTTTACCAATTGTCCAAGAGCTAGTTTTTAAATTAGTCCTGTGGGAATTAATAACACTGAAGCAAGGCTAGAAAGCAAGGAAGGAAGGAGGACAATGTCCCTCAGAGACTACTGACCACGTTACTTCTTCTATTTCCAATTCTCTGAAAGCAATTATGACCAGAAGCCTCATCTGTGGATGACATCCCCCCACAAAGGACACTTTGCAAACAGAGAATGTATCTCCTATACATCACAGGTTAAGGTCTTTAAATGGGACTAGAAGCTATGGGCTTAATGGAGAAGAAAAAGGAATTATTTTGATAACCAAAGCAGAGTACCTTTCCCTGCAGATTTCCAGCTTAGCCCACTCTTCTGGGAAATCTTGGAGGAAAAGGGCCAGGGAGAAGAGTGTGGCTCTCATATCTGACAGACCAAACTCACACCCCCTTCTCAGGCCAGCCTCACCCATGCCCTCTTAAGGAATGAATTCTACTTTTTCATGGAAATACTCAGTTTGCTAAGCTGGCTGAGAAATTATCTGGGATGATACTGATATGTAAACCAGTAGGGAGTCTCTAAGAGCCAGTCAAGGACCATCAGATAGCACAGATAATTTTTGACATCGTGATGCCTCTAAGTCTTTGGTTACTGAGCAGATTGTAATCCCTCAGGATGTTCAGGCAATGCACATGAAATGTCACAAAATTCTCGTGAACATGTTGCTTCTTAGCTTCTCTATTCAATGAAGCGCCCTAAGAATAATTTTCTAATATGTAGATTCTTTTGAATAACACTAAGACATGCAAAGAATTAATTTAGACCACAGACTCTTTTTGGAGACTGTTCACCACTCACCATCCGTCTTTCACCATTGATTCCTCTCCACTGCTCAGCCCTCTTCATAATGTAGCTCAGCTCCTGAATGGAAAGCTCCAAGTCCAGTGGAACAAAGAATGTGCCTTCCTCACCATGGATGCGTCGAAGTACATCCAACAGCCAACCTTCACTATGTAGCCTAAAGATAGAAATTACATATTTGGTTCATCTTTAAAAAGGCTCTTAATGGGGGGGAAAAAAAAAAGGTCATTCTTTTGTAGACTTATGTTTTGGTTTTCCCTTCATGACTGTGGTCTCTGCCCATGGGTAAGAAGTTCTCCAACATACAGCCCTCTGGAGAATTTACAGCACCTGAATCAAAATTCAAAATGGAAGCAGCAATTTAATTTAATTATTTAAAGATATTGACTTCCCAACAATATCCTGATCTGCCTTCCCTTCAGAAATGTCTAATGTCTGTCCTCAGCACTGGGCTGGGTAACTAGTTCCAGTAGCATCGTTAGACATGAATGGAAGTCCTGCTGTGCCAGGGTTCAATAATGGGCAAACCACATCATATAGAAGGGAACCCTTTTTTTCAACCCCAAGCCTGAAGCCTATACAATCTAAACTTCTCTTGATGTTAGAAAAGTTCATTTCATTTGTTGGCTTTGTTTTTCTATGACATTTCTGTTCTGTGGTAAGGAATTGACTAAGCACTATGCAGTAAAATTTTCTACCACAAGAAAGGCTTGCTGTGTGGCATTTTTTGATGTAGGTGAAACCAAGAAATATTGTGGGGCTTTTGGAAAAGGCCTGTGTCACATTTTTAGCCTAAATTGAACTTTAAAACATCAAAACACTGCTGCTTGGTCCAAATGGATCCTCTTCAATTAATCTCTTTCTCATTCTACTTTTATGCCAAACACAGTGATTCAGAAAATAGAAATCAAAATGTCTGGAATCTGAGTTTTGGATATTGAACAGAGGTCTTTTCTTTTGCACCATTCTCCAAGATAATACTTTACTCCAATTCATCTGCTTCTTGGTGCCAATTTCAATATTTTCGTCCTTCCCATAGACTGGTTGGGTAATCATGAGAAGTGCATGCATTGCTGTGGCACTGCAACCAACAAAAGGCCTGGATTTCTGTGGAGCTGTTTAGATCCTTCATTTCTTAGCAGGTGGGAGATGAAGCACAGGCATAAGGCCTTAGACCCTCTGAATTGTCACCCTTCCCACATTCAGCATCACCAGTGACAGTTCTTTTGGCTGGTCCTTATCCTTGGGCCTTGTGTTGGCCTGTATGTGGTGAAGAACACTTGTGCCTGGCAGAGGCAGAAGGTTGCTCAGCTAAACCAGAATGAAGATCACATTTACATCAGCTCTACATCACACCTCAGAGTGCTCACAGAACGTGCAGAGCAGCACACTCAACAAGTTAGTTTTTCCCACAGCTGAGATTTAGCATGGAACAGAAATAAGGAGATGCACCAACAGAAGATTTTTCAACCTGATCTCGGGAGGAGCTTTAGCTCTCTCTTCAAAGGGGAATGTGTACCTCTGGGTCAAGGACCATATCCAAGAGTTTCTGTGATGAAGTAGCTATTCTGATCCCAAAATCTGGCAGCCTGACTCAACATCAGATTAAGAATTTATATCTCAGACTTTGCTGTAAAGGTTCTCTCTGTACTTTTTTCCCTACCCTTCTTTTTTGAAACATTCTTTTTTGAAGCTGCAGCCCTAAATTTGCTGTAGTTTCCAAGATGCCATTTTGGGATTCTCTTATCAAAAGGGGAGAGTAGATGGAAGATCATCTAATCAAGATGTAGGTAGTCTGGGAATATAAACAAACTGGCTATCAAGAAATAATAGAAAATGCTCTAAATGTGTGAAATACAAATCAGTGCTAAAGCAGAGTATGATACTAAAGTAGTAACACACTACAGAAGAGATTATTTTTTATAAATAACTAACACCCTTTATGTAATAATTTACCAAACTCCACAGTATTTTTAAATTAAAAGTTTTTCTCCTAATCTCTGAATCAACATCAGATATTCTTTCAATGCAATAGATGTATTTTTGGAAGAACTGACTCATAATTTAGAATTATCTTGTGCTTGGTTGAAAAACTAGCAATTAAGCTGGTGGACTTTCTGACCTTCTGCTTATGTTGAAGCAATGTTACTCCATGGTGTTTGTCTTTGACATTCCAGGTCAGCAGTTTAAATTGTTTGCCACTTGTCTTGCTAAACAAGAGAAAGACCTTGCCATTTATTTAAGCTCACTTAATGCAACATTCTTATTTCAAATTAACTAAAATTTAATGCAGTTAAATTACTGTCTATTTGCTGCCATAAACATTTTCTATATGAAGATTTTAAGCACATGGTTATAAACAATATAATTAACTTTGAATTAATTAAGAATCATGAAGCCTCTCTTTCAGCTTTGTTCCTTTTGTCCAAAAGTACTCAGCCTGCTCCTGTTGCCTGCTTTAATTTCTTTTCTTTGGCATGAAAACTAATAAAACACTTCTTTATACCTTAACATACCTTGTTATAAGCATGAGAGTAGTTATTTTTATTGCTAATACAATAGAAAGAACAAAACACAGATTCTGTTTTCTAGACATATGAGAACCAGCATAATAGTCTACAGGTTCATTTTTTTACCTATCAGAAAAAACAGAAAACATTGAAATGATTTCCTACCAAGAGTTTGATTAAAAAATGGGCTTTTCAAAGAATTACACAAACCAAAAATTAAAGAGTAGTTTTAGTGGTTTAAAACAATTTATTACATCTTAGCTTGAGCCTTTCTCATCCATTTTTGGAAAACCACCATTGAAAATACAAAACCAGTTTTGCTATTAACACTGAAACATGTAGATTTCTGAAGCTTTTCCCTGTAAAATTTTTCAATACCAGGAAATTCAGATGCTTTCCACAGAAACTTTTTTGTTCAGATGGGTCTGCATTTTCTCACAGTGCAGAAAACATTTCACCAACAAACTCCTGTCTGTTTCTAATATCTGGTAGAATTAAAAGGAAGAAATTGCAACCAATGCCACTTCATGGTTCCAAAAAATAATTAGAATATCTCTCCATGCTAGTTGTACTACAGACTCCCAAGCAAGCATAGGGAATCAGATTTATTGAGGTATTTTGGTTCATGAAGACACAAGTAGATGCTACTTAACCCCTGCCCATTATTTCATTAGCTTCCTGGCTGTTCACCAGTGCTGCCATGAAGTTTTCTAGCTGTGGCACACATAGACACTTCCATTGCTTGCTTTGGTGGCATTGTGGGTTTAGTGTTCTTATCCCTTCTTTTACACACTGTCAAAACCCTTCAGTTCAATGGCAAGCTGCTGAGTAATCCAATAACCAGCACCACCTCCTCCATCCAACAGCCAAAGTCTCCCCTGTGTATTGGAGTCTTCAGGCACAGAAGGTATCCCTCAATATTTATATTGGTTTACCTTCCAAGAGAAAAATGTTGTGGATGCTTATTTAAAAATATATGTTTTTTGTGCTGAGCAACATTCCATTTGAATATATTTGAGATATGGCACCTGAGAAATATTCCCACACAGAGATGCTATGGCCCTGGTAGCATAGTATTACCTATTCTCTTTTGGAAACAAATGCTTTTATGTCCACATTAAGGAAATAGTGTTATGAAATGCAGAGGTGTTGTCCTTAAAAGCATTTTTAAATGTTTTAATTCTGTCTTTATTAGGCTGACAGTGTGCTGCTCAAGAGTCCTACCCTAGGTCCAAGTTTCGCGTGGTGTTGGCTGCAGATGTTCAAGGAGGAGACACTTGATACAATTGCTGAAGCTCATTATATAACTTTACTCAGCACAGACTCCAGTATTCAAAATGTTTCCTTTTGTTATCAAGCAAAGAACTTCAAAGACCTTACTCACTGTAACAGATTTTGTTATCTTCCCTTTGCTTTTGTACTTTGCTATGAATCATTTTTAAAATGTGTTGTGCTAAGACAACTTTTTTCCCCCTAGTAACATTATTCCCCCACCCCTTTATTGGAAAACATTACAGGAAAATTGATCCAGAAGGAAAGATACCTTTGATGATCTTGCACCTGTTCCCCAGACAATGAAGATGTTGGTAATATTCTCATAAAAACCTGCCTTACAAATGTTTTAATTTAAATTAATTTTCCTGAGTAATAAACGACAGCAGCTAAAACTTACGAAGCTATTCAAAACTATTAAGTCAATGATTAAGAAGGCATTAACGTCTCAAAAACTAATTAACTAGACTGCCAGTACATTGGAGTTGTGTACAGCTCCCAGGAATGTAGGAGCTCTGAAATGCTTTGCAGAAATTTAGATTGCCATTTATCTTTTTCTGCCTGCTGCAACAGAGTTTGTGGAAGGGGGACCGAGGGGTGATACAGTAAGGTGGAGGGTGCAGGTGAGATTTTCTGTTCTTACACCTCCCTGCATCTTGCCTTTGCACATGGCTTTTTATTGGTGCTTGCCAATGTTCATCACTGGGTGAATTGAAGGCCAGCACAAAATCCCTGCTGCATTATAAACAACCCACTTATAAAAAAATATACACTTTTTCATTCAATATATTTGACAGTCTATCTAAATAATTTTCAGTGTCCCACACCTGTCCCTATTGACTGCACAGCTAATGGTTCTACTAGAAAGCTGGCAAGAAAGATAGTTGGCCAAATGTCATGAGGAACTGAGCTTAGAAAATGAGCTTATGTCATGGAAACATTATTTGGATTAAATCTTGTAATGATGACTCAGTCACAAGTCAAAAATCCTGTATCATCAAAAGTCAGTAAGGCTCTGGAAGCCACTGCAGATTCAGAGATTTTGCACTTCATATCATATGTAGCTTTCTGAAATTGTTCCTATTTCTCACAAACCCCCTTCTTGTAAGGTAAAGACATCTTCCAAAGTACCTAAACGAAAGGTACAAACACTTTACAGCTTAAGCCCTTTCATAGACACAATTGCCTGAAGCCAAAGAAGTAGAGGCTTCTAGAATCTATGAAAAATCATTATATCAATTGTGCTCCTGTTGAGGAAATAAGTGACTCTGTCTCTGACTTGCTGTGCCCATCAATCCCAGTGCATTAAAAGTTAAGTAGGAGAAAATCCCTCCTTAATTATCTGCAGTTCTGGTCTCTTCTGGGTGTGTGACACTGATACATCTTTTCTGACGTCACCTTATTTTATCTAAGTGGAGAAGAGGCATGAACCTAAGTTCCTAAGGGAATAATGAGATTAAGAGACATACCTTAAAAAATACAGGTACAACACTGTGGATGAGATCATGAACAGGATGATATAAAGCATCACTGTGATTAAGGCACCAGGAACTCCTGACTCCCCAGCTCTTAGAAACACCCAGGAGAGTTTTGCAGCATCAGCAATGGGTTTCTCTATGCTGTTCCCAAACCGCTGTCATGGAGAAAAAATCAACATAAGAAAATGTCACACCTGATTAGACTGTAGAGACAAAAGAACATGAATCTCTGTACAATAAGGATTTAAATGCAATTTGTGGGGCACACAGTCTGAAGCTTATGAGTCTGCTAGATAGAATTTGAAATTAAACACTGGATGCAAAATAAACTATTTTCTAGCTTATTTTAGTCCAATCAAAATCTACCATATAGAGGTGGCTTATTGAGCAAAACTCACGTCACAGTGAAAATGCTTGAAGTGAAATCTCTCAGTGTATTTCAGGACAAGTGGCAGGGCAGAAGGCTGAAATTCGTCTTTATGCAATGACCAAGGGGGCATAATATTGAATTTATTATTTTCCAAAAATCTATTATTTTCCTTTTTTTATCTTTTTTTCCCTCATATCTAGTTCTTAAGAACTAGCTACTGTATTGACATATTATTGCCCTCTGCTGGATCAATTTAGAAGAATTCAACTACATATCATGGGTCTTCTACTGCTCAGAACTAAAATAAATTCCTCTCTCCACTTTTGCCTTTTTTAAGTCACACAGCGACAGCCATATCCATATTAGATCATGTTGACACATTTTGCAAGGGTGTGAATCTGCACCACCAGAGCATGCAGTGCCCATCATTCAGAGAGGATCTGTGACCTTTAGGCTTCAAGAAATCTGCACCTTTCTGAGCAACTTGGCTAGATTAACCTTAGGAAGTGTCATAACTTTCTGCACAGTTCTGGCTGCCTTGGCAATGATGTGCAGAGTAAAGGAATGGATATAGAAAAGGAAGGACAACTACAAGTCCAGCTGTTGAAGAACTGTGACTCTCGAGTATATTTTGTTCTCTCTTCACCCTTTACAGCACTACTAGGTTTCTGTCATGGAAATTGAAGTTCCCAGGAGACCAGTAATGACATATAAAGACAAGTCACATATTTATTACAAAAATAATTAAGTACTCTGGTTCTCTTCTATCTCCCTGTCTCATCTTCTCTTCTTGGAAAAGAAAAATGTAAAAAAACCACAATTGGCTGCTGCCACTGCTTTCTTACTGAAGCTACTGTCTACCAAGGAAAGTCCTCTGCACAGCAGTCACGTCCTGACATTCCTCCAGAGACGCAAAAGTCTGAATGGCAAATAAGAATAAATTTCTCTCTTATCCAAGCAATTCTCTCTGGCAAAGCAAAAGTGGTGTGGGAGAACTTTACTTCTCTATACTTTTCTTCTAACAAATGTACTCTGTCAATCTGTACATCCTGCAGTCCTCAAAGACATGATCCAAGAAAGGTGTCTTCATTTTAAATAGCTTAAACAACATTTGTCAACATCTCTCTCAGGTACTCATCACACCACCACATGTGGTGGTCATGTGAGCCTTTTGCAGTGACTCCTGTTTTTCACAATGACACGCATCCATGTGGCCAAGGAGGTGTTATTGTTTTCTGCATTTTGGAAGCCTCAGACAGACAAAGTGAGTGAGGTCCCAGGAAAGCTCTGACAGAACGGGAACTTGAACTGCATGGGAATGTTTCTTATCCCTGAAACATCCTTCTACAAGCTGACAGTAAATGAAATTTGAAATAACACATTTGACACAGCATTTTGGATGATGACTTGAACCCCCCCAAATATGCAACTGCTCTCTAGCCTTTCCTTAACAATAGAAAGCATTAGTTAGTAAACACAGAAACCTTTGTCTTCAGGGCTATCTGTCATCTTTCATAAGTATTAAGGCCATTTTGAATACTAAAATACATTCTAGCACTAAAATAACTCATATTACCACAATACAGTATTTTAAAAAGGCTTGATCTAAAATAGATGGGCAAGCAAATCTGAAATAGCAGCTGAAAGAATGCCAAGAGAAAAAATATTACAAATGCAATAATGAAAACACATGTAAGAGATATAGTTTCATTTTGGAAAGGATACATACAGTATATTGTGTAATATTTGAACAAATGAGTTTCTACCAAAGATAATCTTGGTAAGTAAGACTGCCAAATTTTCAATATGAAGTACAGAGAAGTGTGTGCATTTTCAACACTTTAATGAAAAACTAAGTTATTTTACTTGTATCTCACGTTTCCCCTGACCAAGTGCTATTTGAAATTGATAAGTAATCCAGTCTGTGTAGAACTGAGCATAATTCCACTGAAGTCAATGGCAACGATTTTTTCAATGCAAGTGTGGGAAAGATAAGGCAGACCTCGTCCTCTCTTCCAGTTTTTATTAATACACCAGTATTAGAGAGGATAAAAAATCCATTTAAAAATTTCAGCACTCCTAGCCTGGTTGTTGAGGAAATTAATCTTTTTCTTTTAGGAAAAAAAAATCTTAATCTGAATAATTACAATTAAAATTCAATACTGTGCAAATTTTACATCATGGAATTTAAAAATAAATAAATAAATGCTGGTTGCCCTAGTGAAAACTACTTTAAGAATGTTGCCACATACTTAAAGTATTGCAATTACCTCTCAAGTGAGCACAAATTAAATTTCTTGAAGAGCTGAATTTTAATTTTCAAAACCACTGCAATGGAAAATATTGTGTAAAGAGTAAAAAATCACCTGCAGAGCACAGGTTAGACGATGAAGAACTAAGAGACCTGAGAAAACCTGATCCACAACACACCTGTAGATCAGTGCTTCATCTGGAGTGAGTATCAGAAACATAGATGACTTTGAAAGACCAGCAAGAGCAGAAGAAGAGCAACACCACAACCCAGAAAAGCTCTCAGCATCCCGCAACCATTGAAAGGAGCCTGTGTCACATACATAGTGAGGCCCAAATTTGGAATTTGTGGCCTGGGATACTGGGCTTTATCTTTGATGTGATAAAAGTCTGCAGCCACCCAAGAACAGCTGGGCTACACAGCCCATACACAGGCACAGATAGAGTTGGGAACTTTGCTCTCCTGTTTTATATATGATGAAACTCTCTCCTGAAAGATGTCAGTCTTTCAATCTCACAAGTCTTTTTAGGTGTGCCAGTAAATTATATTAACTACCTTGTATGTCAGAGAAGTGCATGATAACCTCCATGTTTTTCATTTTGTCTGTTTCAATGTTTAGAAAAATCTGAAGCGTTAATAATCAGGATTGCTCATTAAACTATGCCCATTAACATCCAAAATTGCAGTAATTCTTTTCAAAGCAGATGCAATCACTCCAGCAGTGGATTTACTTTCTTATCTCCAAATATGGCTTGTACAGTGCTCTTAATTTTATGCAGAAACACAGTGACTCCATTAGATGGGAATTTTGTTAATAAAAAGGTAATTTATAACATTATTATTTAATTTCTTTTTAACTTTCATGTTCTATTGCCAGGGGTGGATTTTCATATCTTTCAGTGATTCACTGAATAAAACAAACTTCTACGTCAAGTTCTCATGTCCAAGTTATTTTAAGTGACTCACCCCCAGGAATGAATCCACTACAAACACTGCCAAGGGGTCCAGCACTGTCCATAGTCCCATAGCTATGATAAACTTTGACAAGAAGGGAGGGAATGAGTCAAACAGCTGCTGACAGCCCCATCTGATCAGGACCATGAGAAGCAGCCCTGCGTTCAAGGTTAGGGGTCCCACCACAACCATGGCCAACTCTTCACTGGTGTGCAGCAAGGAGTTCTGGTAGCACAGTTCCACAGTGTGAGGGAAGAGCTGGAACCTGTAAACAAGCAAAAGGAGAGTCTTTGTCCTTGCTCCTGAGCAAGCGATTGAAAGGAGGTAGGATCAGGCATGTTGCATTGTAAAGTTGCGTTCTTATCTGGGTCACAACACTCTGACCAAAAACTCTATGAAGCTAGTCAGAAAAAAACAAACTTTCTCCTCCTCCTCCTGTCTCTGCGTCCTTGGATCCCCTCTGACTCTCAGTTTTCATCCAGGCTTTAGGGATTGTTCAGTAAAGGCTATAGGAAGGTGTTACCTCCCTGACCCATCAATGTGAGCACAGGCCCCAGGAGCTCACCCATGTCTGCACAGCAGCACCTTTGGGCACTGCACACAGCAGAAAATGTGCTGTAGAAGAGATAGCTAAAAGTCAGCATGCCTAAAGTGATTGGAAATGTCCCTCTCACCACCATGAGATGGTGGGATTTGCAAGGCTCGTACCGTGAGCAAGTTTGCTGGCACTGTAAGAGACAGGAACAGCATGGCATTGTGAGCTACAGACAGATGATGAAATTTGAGGCAAAAATTTCAGTCCTATTGAAATGGCTTAAATTCTGCTCCTAACTAAAGGTGAAGTGGTTTGATTCTCACTCTGCTCCCTACTTGTGAGTGCCACCACTACATTTGGTAGGACTAGAGAGTGCTCAGCTCAGTCTCATTGTTCAGGCACACAGTTACAGACTGGGATGCTGATCCAGGGCATTTTGGCTTGAGACCATTATCCTTTATCTAGCTGACTGCCTGGGACAGCTGTGACTAGTGGCTTTGAACATGACCACCACTCTCTCATGCATTGCTTCCTTCTGTTGAGTTCCCTTTGTTTTCACAGACTCTTGATGCTTGGCCTCCCAGAAGTTTTAGTGCCAGCTGGCTAAGTTGACAGGGGCTGTGCAAGGCCAGAAGTTGAGAGATGGCTGGCTTTGCATTAAGATCTAGAAGACCACCTTAACAATACCTAGCACTGTCCAGAGTCTGCTGAGACACCTTGTTCAAATTTCAGCCAATAATCAATACCACTACCACACCAGACATAGGTCAGAGAGTTACATGTTACTGGCTCACACTGACTAATTCAGGTTTATGTGATGCTTTAAGGTGAATAAAAGAAAAAAAAAAATGTTTTTATCAAAGAAATATTTCCTTTCCTAAGCATGATGGAACATTTTTGCTCTGTAAAACCCTTTTCTACCACACAGAAACATGAATAGAGTCAGGTATTTATCACGTAGTGGACTGGTACTCCATCTTTGGGTTTTCTCATGCCAGGTAATGACAAGCAATGACTTTCCTGCAACACTCTAGAGAAGTCTAATTCCTGAGCTAAAGTCAATGTATTATACAGTTAAAATATGTCAACTCATTGCAGTACTCACAGTAAAACTGATATATCAAAGTTAAATTCTTATAAGTATTTTACTCATAGATCACTTTGGTAGCATGAAATATGATTTAAATGCTGCTTCGGTTTTGTGCACTCCTTAAGCATTTTGAAATACTTTATCTAAAGTGATAAATTAATCTTCTGTAAGATACATAACCTGCTGAGTATCTCAGATGGGAGAGAGGTAAGCATGACACAAGATTCACAAATGGACGCGTCATGTTCTGTGTTTAAATTTTACACTACAAACACCTTCACCTGATAGGCACATTTGCATATCAGATCACTGCACTCTGGATGCAGTCCTTGTTCTCTCAGTTTCTGCAGGGGCTCCTATCAGAGCTTGCATGTTGGGCTCTCAGCACGAGCCTTAGCCATCAGTTCTCCTCATAGTACAAACAACCTGCTTTGAATCAAGCTATTTGGAGAAATATCCTTACAGAGAAAAGAGGGCAGCAGGACTTACTTTGCAACAGGAACTGAGATGGTCTGAAGGAAGAGCCACTGGCTCAAATAATGCAGGTAAAGTCTCAGGAACCAAAGCACAACCACCAGCAGTGCAAGCAGCCAGAAGTCCCTGGAGCGCCAGCGTGTGGCTCCCAGCTCTGAAAAGGCCATGTACACCACAAAATGGAAACGCTCCACAACCTGCCTGGACAGCTTCACATCAGCAGCAGCAGCAGAGTGGCAGCTGGAAATGCACAAAAACAAAACAAAGAGTCATTCCTAAAAGCACATAAGAAGCAGCAGCTGCAGAGTCCTGCTGTACAGATAATGTAGCACAGGTTCTGATCACAACTTTGATTAAACAATGCACCTGATATTAAAAACAACAAAAAAAAAAAAGTTTTTTTTAATGGCAGTCTAGGTGAGAGGTAGCTTCCTCCCAGAAATCGTGCTGTCACTTTTAAAAGGACAACAAATCACATTTAAAACAAAGGTTTTAAAAGCCTTTTGGTTTCCTTTTTATTTTAATTTTTCTCACAAATTGTTCTCTGAGGAACACTTTATCTCTTGTTTTCCTTCTGAGAAAATGGTAAAAGGACTTGTCATATTTGCACTGAAAAGTATTAATTTTACTGAAAACCTGTGAACAGCTTTTTGGCATTTGGTAAGAGCACTTCAGTCAAAATATTTCAGGACACAATGTGGGCAAAAACTCTTCTTTAGTTTCAAGTAAAAGAGAAAATAGAAAGGAACTTTCACTGTAAAGGATTCTGCTACTGAGTGTGGTGTGATTTTCCCTTTAAGCTAATTACCGTAGTGCTTCAAAGGAGGTGGAGGGAGGAAATGAGATGCCAAGATGCAGCCTTGGCATTATGTTTCCCAGAAACTGGAGTCTCTCAGCTGATTCAAAGCTGAAAAGACAGTAGCTTATTTGACCTTTTAAAACTTCTAACTGCTATGCTTATTTCCACTGATTTAAATGACTAAGCAGCTGAGATGCACAACTCTAGGACTTAATATGATGTCATCATGCTCAAACTGTTATTTATATTGATTAAGGCTTCTGAAAGTTCAGAAATATAAAGGTCTTTTTGTGGAAGAAAACATGCTGGCTTTTTTAACTGTAGCATGTGACTGAAGAAGAAGCAGCAGACGTACTTGCACTGTATTTCGTGCTCTCTTAAAGAACTTTCCCATCTACACATGTTTCTTAAGTAGCTGTGTACATCTCTTTCTCCAGCAGTCACAAAGAGAACTGTGAATAGCAATAGAGAAGAAACTCAGAAGGTTTCTACATTTAGTCTAGGTTTGAATGAGAGGGAAAAACCAAACTCATCCAAATCTGCCAGCCATAAGCCTGGATTTTGAGACCAGCCTTGGCATCATGTTACTCCTGATCCTCAGTGTTAAGCAGGATGCATGTGGAGGAGATGGCAGGCTGTCAGCCAGCCCCTTTGCTCATGAGAAGGTTCAGGCTTTAGTTACATGGTTGGAGGAGAGGACGAGAATTTGTCAGGGGCACAACACCAAAAAGCAGGGTTTGGGTCACTAACGGCCTCAAGCACAAATAACTAAAACTTCTCAGAGAAAGATCTGCTGGGCTGAGAAAGCTGATTCTTGCCATTACTGTAGGTTGATCTGTCAGGGGTTTTGAAGGTTTTTTCAAGTTATGCAGTCCATTTTGCTTATGTCCTAATCAGCCACAAAGTCCTGCTTTAGAGAAGGGCCACATCATGGATGACCTTCCTCATGTTGTAATTATTTTCCCACAGCAGCCTACAGGAACATCACAACACTTTTCATTAACATTATGAATTCATAGTCTAGGCTTGTGTGAGAAAGAGACAAAGAAAAATGTAAAATAAGAAATATAATTGACTGTGGTATTATACTACAATAACCATGGAATTCTAAATGTTCTGAACTCTGCAGCTAGATTGCACTACACTTCCTCTCATATAAAGAAATTTTTGTCATCCTTAATAGCTTCCATCAAATTTACTCTTAAAGCATTCACTCTTTGAGAAAAGTTAATAGGGCAGGATTAACCACACTGTATTTTCATTAGACCAAATAGTTTATTTGTAAAAAAAAAAAAAGAAAAAAAGAAGAAAAGAAAAAAAGAAAAAAAGAAAAAAAGAAAAAAAGAAAAAAAGAAAAAATAATACTCTTAGCTCATAATACTCATCCTTCATCAAACAAGCAGAATTACATAGACGTTCCATCCAGCCTCACCCATGTCAGAAATCCACATCCTACAGGGATCACTGCCAATCTTCATCTCTGTGCCAAGAGCACAAGTAACCATGTATATTTAAAAAAAATGGATTTAGCTCAACATTTCATTTTATATAAGAATCATCTACTATTAGGTCATGTAGTCTCAATTTACTAATTGAAGCTACTTCTAAATAAGCAACACCAGAACAAAATATTCAATGGACAACCTGTAAAACATTTCAAGAACGTAAATCCTTCCTCCAACCCAACACACAAACGGAGAAAGAGAGCACACAGCTCAGAGCACTGAAAATATTCAATCCTTTTTCATTCATGGCAGTCCTGGAGCACCAGGAGTAGTGAAAACCCTTGGTGACCAAAACCATTGGTTGGGAAGGTGAGTAAAGTCCTTGCTCACTGCAGCAGGACCTCCCAGGGCAATCAGTACTTCCACAGGAGCTCCATGGACACACTGGCTCCAGCTCTGTCACTTGCTGTGTGGGAGGTGCTTCTATACACAGTGTGAGCACACCATACCAAGTGTGCCTATGGAACTTCTCTAAAGTTTAGGCAGCAATGAAAATAAAATGTGCTTCCATCACTCCATTGCTCCACACACTACTCCCACTTTCAAGAGGTCAAAAGAGAACTGATGTCTTCCACTGTGTCATCCCTGCTGAGATGCTGACTCTGTCAGCCACGGGAATCCATCTGCTCAACAAATTTATAAATGAAAGTAGAGAAATTCAGAATGTGCTCACATATCAAACCCAAAAGCCTTCCACAGAATGACCCTGCCTAAACGAGCAGAGCAACATCTATGATATCTTTCCTCAGTTACACCTTTCCTCTGAAAAAAGCAATAGCAACCTAGAAACTCCACAGAAGTCCAAGCTTGTTAGAAGTCAAAGAAATCAAGAAAAATATGTCCATTGGATAGAATCAAACATTTGTTTTTGTTTTTGTAACAGCAATTATCCTTTTTAAGACTTCACGATTTTCTTCAAATGTCTTGATCACAATTTCCTGCTTTTAAATGGAAATTAAGCACTTATTTGTTTATCTTGTTGGAAGTCCAGATTCTGAATGTCATTTCTAACCTTGGTTATACTTCCCAAGGTTACACCTTGACATGAGCACCATCACCCAGTGGTAGAAACTGGTGGAAAATGTAGCCTACACAGTGACTCAGTGAAAGTCCCAGCCCATGACTGGAATATCCTCATTTACTTTAAAACAAATTCAGTTGGCCCCAACTTACATGTGAGTTTCAGGAAACTGTTCCTGAGAACTCATTAATCATGCTGTAAGGCTGTTTACTGGTTGCCACTTCAAAACACTAGGCTTAAATGACCTCTCTTATTGACTTTTTTGAAAAATGAAGAAAGGAAGAGGCAGAAACATGAAATGAAATGCACCAAAGAAGTGGAAACAGTCCCTTTAAATATTTTTCGTTGGTGTTAGTAGTAAAAGCTTGGGAGTGGAGTGACAGTGCTGGCAGATACAGTTTTCAGAAGAGATTTATATAAAGTTGCTGTAGGGCAGAGAACATGAGTATTACCTTTCAAAAACAAAATAACCCCTCCACCCACAAAGAAAAAACCAAACCTTAACCCTTGGGTGAAAACGATATAAAGTTCCAAATGAGAAGCCACTTGAGCAATGGATTTATCCATGATTCCTTGGATTACTGGTAAGTAATTTGGCTGAATGTTTTTGTTCTAGGGCATTAGTTTTGCATTTTTCCTTGGGAAATGCAGCAGTAACAAACAGCAGAGACTGAATTACCATAAAAGCAGGTCAATTATTTCTATGGAAATTGTTCAGAAGGAAAGAAACGATGCACAGATTCTCTTAAGCTGCACTTGATGATGATGACAGAAAAGTAATGGCTGATAGAAGGCAGTGTGTACTGTTGGGTGACAGCTTTGTTGCTGACAAACTACGCTGAACATTTGTATAATGCACTGAAAGGCTGGCACTTAGAGCTGATGGTGGGGTAGATGCTCAGCTGATGCAACCCTGTTTACTCCAGAGCTACACTGGTGCTCACCAGCTGAGGTATTCAGGATCTATCCTGAATGTATCTATTATTTACATTGCGTAAAATAAGGCAAAATAAATGTTTCTTTGTCACCCATACAGACAGAGAAGATTTAAAGAGCCAACAATGCAGACGCAAATTAGTTTATGCAAATTACCTTCAGGGAATCATACACAGTCCTTACAGCCCAAGAGTCAGTGCAACACGTTTACCCAGTTCACAAACAAAAAATACCCCTCCCCACCACCACCCTAAATGGCAGGGTCCCTAAACTTAGTCCTTTATGTCTTATCAACAGAAATGAAGATGCAAGAAATGCTGCCCAGTGTTACTAAAATGAAATGTTATCACTTTCAGGGTAAAATCATACCTGTATCTGAAGACACATCTAAAATTAGTACACTAATACATGTAACCCTTCAAATGGAAACCAGTTCAAAGCACCACTGATGAAGCATGAGGCAGAAGAGAATATGCTTTGTTCTGCTGTGCACAACATAAACATATATATAAAACACATAATTTTATTGTTGTTAGAAGGACTTTATTATTACTCCCTCTGCATAATATTCTTCCTTTTCAAGGCTTATATTGCATTACAAAGAAATTGTCTTCATCCCAGGCCGTATGGTGATGACACAGATGACTTTGCCCAATAAGCCAACAGTAGAGCTACGAACCAAGCTCTGATGAGTTACAGTCCATTATTCTATCCACTGGATTCCTAATAAAATATTACTTTTTTGTTTATTTGTATGCAAAGTGAATATAACCAGGGAAAGCATTTGCCAGGGATGGAGGCACTGTTTTTTCCTAGCTCTTTCCAGGACACACCTATGCTTCATATTTTTCAGTTTGCAAGCAACCAAGAAAGCAGGTATCACAAGCAGTTACAAGGGCTACCTAGGGGCTATCTGCTGAGAGAGAGGTGACAAAAGACCTTAGGGGACATTAGGTAGTTCCTCAACATACTAATGCTC